TTTGAAAAATGCTAGATATTTTATCTTCCTCTCGTAGGTTCGCAAGTTACACTTGGGAGCATTAAAAGTGAGAGAGTAGAAAGGAGGGAGAGAGACAGAGAGAAACATAGACATAAGAGAGACACATTGGCTGGTTACCTCCCACACACTCCCCAACCAGGGCTGTGGATTGAGCATGCAACAAAGGAATGTACCCTTGTCCTTGGTTGTGGGCACATCCCCAGTAGGAAGTGTGCAGGAGGCAGCTGATCGATGTTTCTCTCTCATCAATGTTACTGACTCTCTATCTCTCTCCCTTCCTCTCTGTAAAAAATCAATAAAATATATTTAAAAATAAAGAAGTTATATGGTAAAGAAACATAGTTAAACTTATCTAACTTTGCATTACTATTGCACCTAGTACCCCAGGAAACACCCATTAATATACCACAGGACAATGGCAGTCCCAGTCTCAAATATCCTCTTCCCACAAGCATATGTTCTTTTAGCCTTTCCTAGCTATAAATTGTATAGTCACTACCCCTTGTAAAACCTGTGTTCACGGATTAAAGTTAAAGTAACTCTGGACAACTTCCAAGCAATCTTGAAAATGGTTGTGATAAAAAAATAAAAAAGCATCCCTCAATTGATTAATGCAATGTATTGTAATAGTTAACTTTGTTTATGTTTTCTTTTTTTTTTTAACAGACTTGACAGAGGTTTATGTAATTATTTGTTCGTTTAAAAAGAGTTTTCTCTTTCATTTATTAACTCTACTAGAGGCCCGATGCACAAAATCCGTGCAAGAGTAGGTCTTCGCAGCCCTGGCTGCCTCACGGTTGTTCCGGAAGGTCGTTCTGGAAGGTTGTTCTGGAAGGTCGTTCCGCCATCCAGTCTAATTAGCATATTAGCTCTTTATTATATAGGATAATTTTGTATGTTTTATTCATTAATTTCTGCTTTTATTTTTCCTGTCTTCCTCCTGCTTCCCTTGAATGTGCTTTGCTCTCATCTTTTCTAATTTGGGGGGTCAGGTTCTTAGTTCATCTATCTTTATATTTTCAACTACATATCAGTGTATGAGATTTAGCCAAATGCTAACATACTCCTATTACTAGAGAGAGAAAAAAGGTGGGGAGGGAGAGATTAACCCATTAAATTTCAGGCTCATGCTTCTCTCATAGAATACAATGCAGTAATTAAACTTAAATCGAAAGAGCTAATTCAGGTAAGGATTTTGAAAAATATTGAGGTAGAGAGAACCCAAACACCCAGATTCCCTTCAACTCTGGGCAAATCAAAGTCAAAAACAGGTACAGAAGCTCAGCCGAAACGAATGTGCATCTCAGGGACACTTTGGGAAATAACGTTTAAGATTGTAGAGGCTGTCTTCATTTGAGTTCCTCCAGAAGCCAACCTGAAGCAAGAATTCTCAAGAAAAAGGTTTATTTAGGAAACAATGGCAGAAAACACTACTAGGGAAGTGGGGGAGTGAGCTGAGGAAGGAAGGAAGCCAATAAAAGGAGTGCTATCAACAACTTACCACTGTGGCCACTGGAGCTGGATTCTACCGTGGAACTCTGGGAGCCCGTGCAGAGCAGGTGCCTGCGTGTTGTCCCACCCAGCAGAGAGGGAGCTGGGGTGTTTGTATGTATTCCATCAACTCCTAGCAGTTGTTTGAGGGCTGCTGAGCTGGAGGCCACTTGCGGCTTGCACAGGAAAAGCCCTCAGGTAAGGAATGCAGATGCTGGCAATCAGACCAGAGCTTTGTGATAAGCATGAGGGGCTAGCTAGGTGGGGTAGAGAGTGCAGGGAGTGTCCTGACTACTGCCGTAAAGGCATTAGATTTCCTTCCCTTCAACCAGCTACAAATGTCTCACCCAGGCTTGGTAACAGGGCCTGGAGTTACTTATAGGCTAATTTGTTTTCTAGGAGACATAAAACTTTATGAGGATTTGTTTCCAGTTTCGATATAACCTATTAAAACCTGATCATCAGAGAAGTAGCCCAGGGATGCTCTCCAGGAGCCGCAAAGCCACATGGGAGCTGGGGAAGAGGAAAGTTCTTTTTCAAAGTCAAGACACATCAGAGACCTCTGGGGTGGACAGGCCAGTAAAAAGGCGGAGGAGGCAAATGGCATCTTCATGACAATTTTATTGTCTTAATAATTACTTCACTCTTCTAGGGCCTCCTTGTGTGACAAGACCCTAAACCACAGTCGACAAAAAAACATTTATCTCTTCTAGTTCTAGTTCAACCCAGACGACTTGAGTCCATTTCTTCGCTTCTGAACAGGGAGGGAAATAACAACTGCTACACCCGGGAGTCGCTGTAACAACTGACTAAATGGAGGGAAAGCCTCAGGATTCGTAAGTGCTTACTAATAAAAGCAAGTCGTTCTCAGAAGAATTGGTTCAGCTTAATTAGTGTGGCAATCTGTTCTCCAAAGCACAATGCAAATGCAATATAAATAAAAGGGATTTGACCCTATGTTTTATTGCCAATTTCCCAAGAGTGAAGATTAATAAAGTCTCGATTCAGGTCAGCTGTCTTACACTGATGGATTTACTCTCCAAAGTGATATTTCAAAAATTAAAATGTGTTCCCATCAATACCATGCCCTTTTAAAAATGCAGTTTTCTTACATGCGTTAGTCGAGTTTTACAAACTGCTTACTATGCCACAGTAGAATAGTCGCCAATAATATGGGCCTTTCTTTTGCTGCATGGAATTCTGGGTAGATACGATCAAAACGCTTTTCCTCTGCAGAAAAGATGTTACCTATGTAATCATCACCTGGCCTTTTGGGTGAATGGCTTCCTCAACTAAAGCCTTCACAATTTGCAATTTTATGTTTTCTGTCTCGTTTCTGGCAATAAACAATAATGTCCCCACATAACTGCTTTCCTGATTTCAACTTAAATTCGGAGGCCACAGGAAGATGGTGCAGGACTGTTTCTGTGCCACCTAGATCCACCCACATGCCTTGCTTTCTTTTTTTAAAATATGTTTGTATTGATTTTGGAGAGAGAGGAAAGGAGAGAAACATCAACGGGCCGCCTCCTGTACGCCCCCTGCTAGGGATCGAGCCAGCAACCCAGGCATGTGCCGGCAACCTACTGGTACACAGGATGACACCCAACCAACTGAGCCTCACCCGCCAGGGCCACATGCCTTGCTTTCTGGCCCTCATGACAGCTTGTGACAGTGAAGCCAGGTCATTACTTCCCCCATGACACAGACTGGGATGTTCCAGATGCAGGGTGCCCCTGCAAAGCAGCCACATGCTTGGAGAGCCAGGTGACACAAGCTAGAGTGTGGTGGCGCTACACCACGTGGGGTGACTGACCAGTGGGAGACAGAGTCTGTTTCTCCCTCTGGATGAGAGGCAATGAGGCCATCTTCTCCCATCTGTCAATCTCTTGTCACCCAGATTTGCCCACCTGATCTGGCAGATTAGTCCAGTGATCCTTTCTTCCTTCACCTTTCTGTGTGTATCCCTTCTTTGGCCCCTGGCTCATAGCATTCCCCACACCCCAGACAGAACAGCAGTTACGGGTGTGGGCTCTACAGTCTGAGTGTATACTCAAGCACCACCTCCTTGACCAGATATACTACTTCACCTCTCTGTTCCTCAATGCCTCCACACATATAATGGGGTTGAAACAGCTGGCCCAGTGTGATGGGGCTGGTAGAGGATGAAATGAGTTACTGCACACAAAGGGCTTGAAAGAGCTCCTGGCCCGTGAGTGCCAAATAAGTTTAGTTCACATTATTATTCATTTTCTAGTCATCTCCATGGGAGTTTTTATCATCCATGTAGATGAACCACCCCACACATTAGCCTTAGAGTTTGACCACCCTAGCTACACACATAGATCCCCCAGCCCACTCTGATTGAGGCACTGTATTAATCTACTTGGGCTGCATGACAAAATATCACAGGCTAGAGGCTTAAATAATAGACATTTATTTTCTCACAGTTCTGTGTTGGGGTCCAACCCCAGCAGGTCCAGGGGTTTCCACCGGGTCCAACCCCAGCAGGTCCAGGGGTTCCCAAAGTTGTGGATGGAGTCCGCGAAGAATGAAGGAATGACCCGGAGACAGCGTTCAGTTGATCAGCAGCCTAGCCAGGTTCTCTAGCCAGGATCTCCAGCCAAGTTCTGTGTCTTATTATCTTGTTACATCTGTATTTATACCAGTTGATTTTAATCCTATCAATTTCTATTCCAAAGGTTAGGGCATTTCTTATCTCCATTTCTGGGAGTAAAGATTATATAGCTTAAGCATGATTGCTCATAGTTAAAGTGATTAACTACCCGCCTGGCACTTAGTTAAGGGGTTTTAATCCCTCCCTAACTTCAGGGAAAAATCCCTACCTGGGGAAACAACCTTTCTTGGAGAGGTGACCTTGGTTATAACACATAGCACCAAGAAGGGGAGCAAACATATTAAGAACAGTATGCCATATATGCCAGGTCCCTTGAAACATATGCTGTGCAGATGTTTCTTCTGTGCAGCGACTGTGTCAAGCAGCAAGAATGGACCAGCTTCCAGCAAATTCCCCCTTTTTTATTTTTAAAATGATAGTGCATGTAAATCAGCGGCCACCTCTCAGACTGGGTTGTTTAAGACTCGGAAGAAGACTGACAAGCAATGATAGTGAGCATAGCTATAAACATAGTGGATGGAGTGCACAAGGAGCCTTGTTCCTGTAGAAGGTTGCTGCCCTCTTCAGTCAAGGGATTTCAGCTGTCCTCAAGTCAGTGGTTTTGTTGTCTTTATTGATCTGGCTAGCGGGCAGCGTCATTGGCAACAGGCTTCCCGAAGCATCAGCGCGTTGAAGGGCTGGATCAAAGGGTCCATCAGGGCCGCGCTTGATGGTGGTGTCGGCGTCCGGGGAGGAGTCAGCTGTGCCCTCCAGGTCGGCTGATATGGATGATACTGTGGGGGAGGAGAGGGAGGCGGAGATGGAGGGCGGTAAGACATAAGGTCGGGGTGCCGTGTCACATATAGAAATGTTTTGATATTTGCAACCATAGTAAAACAACAACTTATATTTTTGATATTTATTTTATATATTTAAATGCCATTTAACAAAGAAAAATCAACCAAAAAAAATGAGTTCGCCTGTCACCTCTGACACACGTGTCATAGGTTCGCCATCACTGGACTAGACGATCTGGAATCCACACAGGTGAGTCTGCATCCTTGGAGGACACACTTCCATCTCTTCCCACGGTATCCCCTCTGGTCTGCTCCCGGGATTGGGTCAGCAGCTGGGATCCAGAGCTGGGAAGAGAGCTCTTTGGTGTCTCTTCCTCTTCTTAGCCTCAGGAAGGTCCAAGTCTTGTGGTAGCTCTGCCTCTGTCTCAAGGGGTCGCAGCTTACCTTGCAAGGTGTATCGCAGTTGAAGGAAGGTCTGGTGCCTCTGCAGCTTGTCCCGCTCCTGCCCTGCTTGCTGCTTCAAGGTTCTAAGTTCCTGACACAGCTGCTCAAGCTTCTGCTGAGTTCCTGCCTGACGCTGCCTCACCTCTGCAGAAACTTCTGCTAAGTGCTGTAGACGCTTCTCCAGTTGCAGCTTCCACTGCTTCTGGGCTGTTCTGTGTTTCTCCATGGCTACTTGCTTCTTGGCCTGGAGCTGCTCAAGGGCCTCCCGGAGCTGTGCCTGCTTCCTTTGGGCCTCCTCCATCTTGGGCAGGGCCTGGATCAGGGCCCTTGAGATGGCCTCCACATGTTCTTGGTAGGTAGCCTTCAGCTCTTTCCATTGCTCCTTGGCTGCAATTGCCTTCTGTTGGCTCCTGTCTTCAGAAGCCAAGGGGCCCAGGCCCTGGACAATGTCCTCCTGAGCCAAAAAGTTCTGCAGGAAGTCCACTACCTGAAGATGGCTGCAGAGCAGCTTGTCCTTCTTTCGGAAATTCATCACAAACTCAGCCAGGACCTGTCCAGGCACCTCCGCCTCCTCCTGCAGGCCTATAGGCTCCAGGATGTTTGCCAACTGGGCCAGGGACTCTATGGCTGCAGCCTTGGCCTCGGTCTCCGCCAACTCCATCCTTCCCAGCGCAGCCTTTCAGCCCTTGGGTGCCAGATGCCGTGGTCCAGCCCCAGCAGTCCAGGGGTTCCCAAAGGTGTGGACGGAGACAGTGTTCAGTTGATCAGCAGCCTAGCCAGGTTCTCTCACCAGGTTCACCAGCCAGGTTCTGTGTGTATTTCTCCTGTTACATCTGTATTTACACCAGTTGATTTTAACCCCATGCCTCTATATTCACATCATGGTATGTTTCGGGTCCTCTTTGACCTTCTACAGTTCCTTGTCTAATGTCCATAGTTTCTTATCTAACCTTAGCCAAAAATACTATCTCCATCTAGTTCTGTTGATTTTAATCCTACCCATTCTATTCCAAAGGTTAGGGCAGGTTGTTATCTCCATTCCAAGGTCACTG